GATGTTTCTTGAACTTTGACCAAAATAGATTCCAAAACCACCTTTAACTTCAACCCCTCTTAGTTGCTTGCATAAATACTATCATAGGATGATGCCTAAATATCCATGTAAAGTTGAAGGGTGCTTGCTCTAATGGACTATAAAAACATTGGTGACTAATTTAAGCCTTGCTAGGTAAGCCTTATACTCCTTAAGTGCTGGTAAGAGATCTATAATTTTGAATGTAAAGCACTAGCATTCGGGGTTCGATGTCTTATCATTGCTTGAGAGCGGGAAATTTGAGTTTTCATCCTAAACAGTTGAGCTCATTAATTTCTGGAAGTCAAATTGGTCTTAGAGTGTAAGCGTTTCCCAATAGTCGAAGAGTCAACACACATTAACCATTCTATCAATATCTCTAATTTTCTTTAGTAACTTTGACTCAAAACTTGAGGGTAGACAATCTCCCTTTTCAAACCGAGTCCACTTTGATAGGGTCCTAAAATCCTTAATAGTATTTTTCACCTCTCTGTCATGTTTTTATTTTGGTGACAACCTACCAAAACAAAGGTTAGAATGGAGATTATCATAAGATAGTTCATGTCTTCATGGGTCGGCTCTAATGGATATGATCTAGCTTTTCTAAACGAGGGTTTAGGGAAACTTGTACGATCTTAAAATCTTTTTCAACTTCTTGGAACGTCTAGATTATCGGTGGGGTAATCCACCTTCTAACCTTATGCACCAAGAAGTATGGAAAGGTCATTTTATAATTTTTATGCATAGGGTGAGTTTCAATCTAAACGAGGGTCTAGATAAGCATGAGAAGACTTTCATCATACTTGCCATCTAGATCCCTCTAGCAAAATCCAAAAAGGAGTTTCGGCTCGAGTTCAGAGTTTCGTAGGTTTTTCTTATGGTGTGTGTGCAACGATAAAAAGCACATATATCCAACGCAATTCACAATAAATAAATACAGAAATTAAAATATATAAAAATAAATTACATAAATTACATGACTTGAAATTAAATAAAAAATAAGTAAAGACCCGGAGACTAAATAACAAAAATAAATGAAGGAGATAAATTTAAAAAGACTAAACCAATGGCCTAACTCTTAATCTCTAGCGGAGTCGTCATGCTCGTCGTTACTCTACATTTAAGAGACTTTCAAAAAAAAAAATAATGAAAAGGGAAAAGAATTAAGAAACATATTTTGAAATCGCCACCTAATATTTAAAGAAAACTAAGAAACCTAAGAAAAAGATATCAATTACTCAAGGCACCGTTTCTAAGAAAAGGTATCATATCTAATTTAGTCCTAAAATTGTATCTACCAAGAATCCATTTTTGCCAAATTATATTCTAAGTTTATTTTTTCAAGTTTTTTCTATTGTTTAAACCAAGCTACTTATTTTTATTTATTTTTTATTATGGCATCATATTGAATTAGTAGAGGACCCCAAAATCGAGAGTCTCGTCAATTTGACATCGGATCTAATTAAAGTCTTGGCATAACCGATATATTAAAGAACGACCTAATTACTAAGGGTGTTTGGTTTGTATTTTCCTTAATTGATGTCAAGAATAATGTGCATCCCTATTAAATAAGAGACTTATTAAATCAATTTAAAACTTTTTAAATTTATTTACTTATTTATTATTTTTTTTTGACATGTTCTTTTTTTAGCATGGTGAATTTGATGGAGGATCGTTGTCGATCCTTAGAATCTAAGAGACTCGACAATCTACTTGTCATATTAATTACATAAGAACTAGATTATAATAAAATACAAGTAATGGATAAAAGAAATTAAAAAATTAAAACACAATATATGGACAAAAAAATATACAGCCCTACCATTTTTTTACTAACAACATTAAAGGTACTTAAAGAAAAATCCAACCCCTAAGCAAAAACACATAAATAATTAAATAGATTATAAAACCGTAACAAATACTAAATAAATATAAAATTAACTCACAAAATTATGAAATTTAATACACAAATTATATACAAGCATACAATCGCATCCTAAATATTTTAGATTAAAATAAAATTAAACAGAAAGCTAAATTAAATTTTTAGACAATTGAAACAATTAATAATTAGGTAGAAAATTAAATAAATTTGAAATAAATGGTAAATGAACATTAAAAATTATGAAATTTTAAACACAAGCTAAGGATAAACCTACATAATATACCTAAAAATTTCAAGTCAAAATGAGTAAGGCAACCTTGTTAAAGTAAATCCTAAGAAAAATGATTTAAAACTCCATTGGACTCTCGGCCAGTGGGCCCGTAGTCCAACTCAAAGCCCAGCCTGTGGCCTTTCTCTCTTTTCTTCTCTCCGGACCGAACTCAACAAAACCTCATCCCAACCCAAGTTTCGGCCTAGCCCTTCCTAAACTTGCTCTGCTAGTCTACAACCCAGCCTAAACCAATATCCCAGTCCATGCCCAACCTAGCCTTAACTTAACAAAAGCCACAAGCCCTAGCCCATTTTTCCTCTTTTTTTTTTTTTTTAATTATTATTTATTTCTCCCCAGCCTGAGCCCCTTTTTCTTCCTCTTTTTCCCCAGCTGATGCATCTTCTTATTCTTCCTTCACCCGAACTCTTTCTTCTGCTCATCTTTATACCAACTGCAACATACTACTCCCAAAATAAACGGATTTTATTTTCACTAAAACCCTCAACCGAAAGACCAATCTAGTTTCTTTCTCTACTGCTAAAAATCGTAGTGCAAAATAAACCTTAACTTAGTCCCTTAATGACTGCTTGGAAACCGAAAGCATCAAAATGCTTACAAGAAAAACAGAATCATGGAACACAAATCAGAGTTCAGAAAAGGGAAACTAGGGTGTTACTTGCTTCGAGCTTGGTGAACTTACAATACTGGTTTGATGTCAGGGATACTTGAGGTGCGTCTCTTCTCCTTTCAAAACTCCTCTGCTTGCTGAAAACCTTGTTTTTTCCTCCTCGGCTCCTCCCTTTGTTTTTCTCTCTCAAACAGGAGAAGATTCCTCTGCAGAAATCTTCCTTTCACTTCTTTGGTTCTCCTCTTTTCTCTCTCTTTTTACGTTATCAAAGCAGAGGATACTCTTGAACTCCAAAACCAGAGTCACTTTCCAAAACTAAAACTCCCTTCTTCCTCCCCCTCTCTCCTTCTTAATTCTTCTCTCCCCCCCCCCCCCCTCTTTCATCCTAACCGTTCGTTTTCTCTACTAAACCTCCACCCTCTGATCGTTCTGTACCATGACTCTGCTCCTCTCTTGTTTTTTTTTCTTCCTTACGTTTTCTTTGTTTTTGCAGCTTAGATGAAGCGAGAATCGGAGAGAGTACAAGCAGACCTGTGATTTTGTTTTTGAATGTGGTATAATAGCCAAATAGCCAGGATAAAAGATCCAAAACATGGTGCCAACTCCTCATCCCTTATTGTACCTTCTTCCTTTTTTTTTTTTTTTTCTTTCGCGCAGGTGAGTCCAAGGAGGAAGAGGAATAACGGCGCGCGGGAGGGTGATTGGTTTAATTTGCTGAAGCGAACGACACGTCGTTAGAGAAAACTGTTGAATTAGTCATGTCGTTCGCTCCCTTCCAATTACCGTCCTCGCATATCTAATGTTTCTTCAATTAGACCCCTTGGTTACGTTATTTGAGTCCTTTATTATTTTACCTTTTTTCAATCGCACCCTATGTCCTTTGATTTCAGTTTCTGTTTTTTTTTTCCTCCTCCATTGCACCCCTGCGTCACTTGATTTCAGTTTTGTTTTTCAATTGCACCCCTACATCTCTTGATTTCAGTTTCTATTCTCTTAATTTGTTCATTTGCACCCTCAGCTATATTTTTTTAAATAATTAACCATATTTTTTGTATTTTCTTTTTCTTTTATTTATTTATTTATTTATCATTGATTTTTGTGATGAAATAAGAAGAAATTTAACCTAATTTTAACTTTTCCTTTTCTTTTTTTGATCATTGATTTTTGTGATAAAATAACAAAAATTAGCACAACAACAATAATAAAAATAAATGTGTGCTCATAAAATCTATAAATGATAAAATTATGAAATAAATAAAATATAAATAAATAAATAAATAATATAATAAATTTTGTTTACGACATACGGCACATAATAGGCCAACTAAGATATAAAAAGTGTGGCTAAAACTCCTAAAATTAAGAGACATTCAACCAACTCTCTTTTCTAATTAAACAAGGACACGTTCAATCCTAATCCATAATAAATATGGACTAATAATTAAATATAGATTATTGACAATGAAAGATTTCTTAATAAATCAAGATCTATAACAAATATGGATTCCAAACCATGAGCCTATTCGAACAATACTAAAAAAATAATAATCCAAATTCAATGAAAACTAATTAATTTAAACCAAATTCAAAACATAAAAGAATTAAAAATAAATCCAAATATAATAAGAATTCTTAATCAATTAAGGTATAATAAAATGACCACAACCAAAGTGGAAAGAAAGTTAATTAAGGGTGAAATTTTCGATCATCTTAAAACTTGAATAATTCAGCCTTCACTTCACATCCAAAACTCTCGACATCATCTCATGTCTAATCGATTTTATACCTTCGATAATTTAAGGTCTTGGTTATACATTTCCTTATTTACATCAAACTAATATGAAGGTCTGCATTGCTAAGATTGCTTAAATTATTTCATAGACACCTATTTACGTAGAAAAAGAAAAAAAACATAGATATAGAATCCATAATAAAATTATCCATGAGTTCCAATGTTTTGTTTTTTTGTTTTTTTTTTTGGGAAATGAGAGGAGAGTACAACTCTAGATTTACTAATTACTACTTAATAATTCCTCACATAAACTAGCCTCAGGCTATGAGACCCAAGGAATAATATCTCAATACCGAACGACACAGTGCTTACAGATGGCTAAATGACAAGTCGTCTATTTCTCTTGAAATATAAAAACTCAACATTCAAAACCAATCTCTGCTTCCGCTTCAAAGTTTCTAATAAAATGGAGAACAGTCTCTCTTCCTCTCGCTCTCACTCCCACTGCAGCCAAAAGTTCAGCTGCAAAACAGCAGAAGAAACTATGGAATGGATAAACGCAATCATCAATTTCATTAGACCCTACACTTTCTTAACCAACGCACACGTTACCAATTTCTTCACTGACAAATTATGGCAATCCATTGATCCTGATTGGCTCCAGTGCTTGCGCAACGAACCTGTCCAAAATCTCCTCTTAATTCCTTCTGGTGTAATCCAGGTAACTAGCTATTTTTCTCTCTAATTTTTTATTAATTTTTTTCTTTTTGTGTTGATTTTATTATTATTATTATTTTTTAATAGGAGCATTGGCCTGATTCGCTGAAGGAATTTGTTTTAGATTTGAAGGCTCTGGCCTTTCGTCGCGAGCAAGCGGATTTAAAGAAGGTTTGTTTTTTTTTAATTAATAGTTATTAAGTTTCTTAATTTTGTGTTTTGGTTAGTAATAATAATATTTGCTGACTATTTATTGTAGGTGTTACCGGGAGTGAATGTGGTTTCGCTCAATAGTGTACTTTCTCAAGGCATGAATTTCAAGAAAAAACATGAAGTAGGTGATTGAAGCATTGATGCTTGGTTTTGAAATTCTTTTAACTGTTGTTTTTATTGTTTATAGTTGCAAAAAATATCGGGATTTTTTTACGTATTCGGGAATGCTGCAAATTGTGGAATAATGTTACGAATTTGATTTTTTAAAGGGCGGGGGTTTTTAATTACTGCATTTTAGACTTTTCTTTGTTAGAAATGAGGAAGCAGGCTTATTAAGGGTAATGGTTTGATTTGAGTAGGTGGAAGTTCTCTCTGCGGTTGTCAGTTCCATTGCGTATAGTGTGGGAGCTCAAACAATAGTTGATGTTGGTGCTGGCCAGGTTTGCCTGCATTTGATGATAGCTTTTTCTGTGATCTATATATTTGTTTCGCCATAAATTTGTTATTAATTTTAATTAATTTCGTGTGGTATTACTGGCTAATGATCTTTTCTTTTCATGTAATGTGAAATTGAAACTTCATTTGCTATTTATTTCTTGGAAAAATTCTACATCTTTGATTGAGCTTTTCTTTTAGGGTTATCTTGCCCAAGTTCTTTCATTCCAGTATCAGCATTCTGTAGTTGCTATCGATGCCTGTTCTCATCATGGAACGGTTACAGAGAAACGTGCAGAACAAATCAAGAAGCATTATGCAGCTCAAATGCAAACACACAAGTAAGCGATGCATTAATTTTGCATTTATTTGCTTGCTTGCTGCAATTTTCTACTCCTTAAGGAAGTACTTGCTGAATTTTCTACTCCAAGTTCTTTAACAGAGAAATTGTTTGGATGTTGTCTGTTGTTAGTTGAGGGTAGTTGTTAGTAGGGGATTGCCTAGGTTGCCTGATTAAGTACTTGGCATGGTTTCTTTGCTTATTCTATCAATGCCCATCCCTTGCATGAAGGGTTACATGTTATACTATTAATAGATTTCCATTACTGTGATTAGGTGTCTTTTTTTGTTACCAGACTCTTTTTCTTTCTTCTGTTAGTTCAGGAACTGGGATTCCAAATGTGCCTAAGACTATCACATGCCGTGTCATGTCTATTGACATGTTGAAAGCATTGTCCTGTGTCTCACCACATATTGATAATGTCAAGCAGCCAGAGTTGATTGGGCAAAGTGCAGATGATAAGACTTCATTGGTACTTACTGGGTTACATGCATGTGGTGATCTATCAGTAACTATGCTGAAGTGAGTGCCTTTTCTCTTTGTAAGTTTATCTCATTCCATTTTGCATGTAATTGCAAATGTTCTTTGAATGCTTAATATATTAGGCAAATCTACAAATTTGTGCATATGCGTTGAAGAGTTTGAACACTAGCTGTTATATTTCACTTCTCCCTGACCACGTGCATTGATATTTGGTTAACTAGCTATGTTTTATCAAATTGTCTCATTATGCTTATTTTCTTAAACCATTCTTTTTACGGATCTTTTTTCTGTATTGTTGTTTCATTATCCAGTGATAACTTTTAAAGTTCATGTCTTTATTGGACCAGGACCTTTTTAGAGTGCAAAGATGTTAAAGCAGTTGTTAGCATTGGATGCTGTTATAATCTGCTTTCTGAAGGATGTCTTGACATAGCTGGTTCACAATGTGGTTTTCCTATGAGTTGTGGTGTTAAATCTTCTGGTATATCACTTGGGAAAAGTTCACGTGATCTTGCTTGTCAGGTGCTTGGATATCTAGCTTTTCTTTAGTGCACTAGTTTTATGAAGCAATGTCATAGAAATGTCAAGTACCTACTTCAGTATGGATAATATTGTCTGAGTATATATTAACAACTTTTGTTGAGTTTTAATGTCTTCTGTGGTGCTTCTTTCATAACTCCTTTTTTTTTTTTTTTTTTTTAATTATTATTATTATTTTTTATATCTAAAGATGCACTCCATGACCCAGCTTAATTTTGCTTAGAGTGCAGAGAGATGGAAGAGTCTTGGAAAAGATGCTGGTCTAGATAATTTTGAGTTGCATGCTTTCCGTGCTGCTTTTCAGATGGTAAGAATGCTTAAAGAAATTTATAAGAGATTATTATATTTTGCTTTAGACTTGCCTTCTCACCCTATGTTACTGTCAGTATCATCGTTATGCAGTGTGTGAAAATTTTTATACTTGTAAGCCTGATTTATTTGTCCTTCAGTTTATTTAATGTTAGATAAATAGATTGTTTTCTGTATTTTCTGCATCATCCATCCACTGTTGATACCATTTGTTTCTTCTGAAGGTTCTTTGTAAATATTATCCTGAAATCATAACGTCAAGTCCCTCAATTGGCCGTCAAGGGAAGGCTTTGCGACGTCAACGGCAAAGGAGGATCCTGCAGTGTTCAATTAATTGCGAAGAAAGTAAACATTTATCAATGCCTGAGACAATTTCTCATATGCAAGAAATCTGCCTAAATTCACAGCCACCAGAATCTAAAACAGGTATATAGGTAATCAATTATTCTCGAAAGTTATATAGCCTTGAAATTGCAGTTGATTATCCCCTTCTTCTGTAGGACATAGATATTTAAGGAGAGCGGGGATAGAGAAATAAAATATCATTTAACTCAAGCATCTTTTGAGTTTATCCCGAAGACCCAAACTATTGAAAATATAAAAGAATCCTATAATGCAAAAGCAGTTCAGCAATGAACAAAACATGTTAGTACTTACAAGATACTGATAATTTGCTGTTGGAATGTGTTCTGTAGATGACAATTCAGCCTCAATGTTGGATTTCCATGGATTTTCCTGCAATGGAGGTACCGGATACAATGAAACTGCAGCTGCAAGCAAATATTTGCTATTCGAGAAATTTACTCAGTCTGGATTATCTCGCCTTGGTCTCAAACCTTTGCAGGAGACACATTTCCATGAACTATGGAAGGAAGCTGAGCCATTTGCTGTATGTTAACCCCAAACTTGCTTTTATGGTGTTTCATATATTATATATGAGTATCTCAACGATTTCCTTTGCACCTTTAGGAAAACATTAAGAAGACATATTTTTAGATGTTCTGTTATAATACTGATTAATGCACTGATTCAAAACAGGATCTAATAGGACCCTATTGGTCCCTGCGAGCTGCTTTAGGGCCCCTTTTGGAAACTCTTCTTCTGCTTGATAGATTATTGTTCCTCCAAGAGCAAGGCAGTTCGTTGGAAGCAGTCATGTTACCTATATTTGATCCTGCATTATCCCCAAGGAATGTGGCCATAATTGCGAAGAGAACTTGATACAAAGTTTCAGTTCCATCTGAGAAATGGTAATAATAATAATAATGCTATATGTCCTATCCCCACCAATATATCTATTAATCTTGACTTTTCTAGTTGCTGTGATTGTTAAACAAGATTCTTTCAAGTTGTTATGATAATTGAAATATGGTGCAATTATTGATCTCACTTGAGTGGGACCATAATTGGGATTAGCTTGTAGGGCAAAGTCAAATTTCTTGTTTTTTAATTGGAACATTTAGGTTGATGTCCATGGTATTGATGTTTGTTCTTTACACAAAGTGTACCTAAAATTTGATCCTTATTCATGGAAAAGAAAGTAATCATCTTCATAATGCTACCAAATATATTCAGGTTGGCTATATGGAGTCAAGCAGTGCTTCTGCTACACTTGTTGCTTTTATTGTTTCTGTGGAAATCAAATATTGATTTCAGTTGCATTTCCAAATTAAGTATCCATAAAATGGTGCTTGTGGCATTTAAAGTTTGGCAACTTAATGCAGGTTGTACCAAATTTGATTGATTTGCTTTATTGAATTCCTGCATTCTTCCAGTCATTGTTCTTTCTCCCTTAATTTTTGGGTGGGGATTGGAGAGGAAAGTAACTGCAAGAGAAGATATATGTTTATTTATGGAACTACTAAATGGTACTGTAAAGTGTCTTCAACTGTATTATTTTTACCATGCTAGGTGATTAGGCAGCCTTCTATTGAGATCCCTCTTGCTGTGTTTTCACTTGTTGAATTTAGGTCTGATATAGAAACATTTTACGGAATTGGCTTTTGTAAGTCTTGGAACTAGTCATAGAGAGCGGTTGATTGGAGGCTTTAGAGGTCCTTAGAAGGGCTGCTAAATTATTCATTAGCAATTTGGATGCTCTACCCCAACAGTTCCCTTTAGATGTCTGTTAACTGGCTGGAATGAAACAGACGTTTGTTTTGTTACTCATCTCGACCCACTCTAGAAATTCTCGTCATCAAATAAAGCCAAGAAATTGCAAGTTTTTCTAAATGCCAATTTGGCATCTTTAGATAGTATTTTGTTTAGCAACTAAGACTATTTCACATCATTACATGAATATTGATGTAATCTTTGTGTGGATGATAACTATTCATAGTTTGTAAAGCCAATTGTTATCATTCCAAGTACTATGAGATCAAATTGCTTTTTTTTTTTTTTTTTTTTTGGGTAGACTATGACATCAATTTTGTTCAGGTTTGATAATAGAGGACTGCAAGTCTTAGAGAAATACTTTGAACAGTTACTATTGATGCGACTATGTAATTGTAGTTTTCTTTGCATGATGTGTTTGTATACATTTAGATTCTATATGCGTATGTTATAGCTGGATAAACATGATTGAATAGTCATGCCATTGGACGCCTGACCCTAAACATTCCTTGTAGATTCTGCAGAGAAGTGGGTGGTGGGGTGTGTGCTTATGATAATAAGATCTGTTGAATAGTTGAAACACTGTGGTTGAACTAAGCAAAGCGTGAAATTGTCACATCAGATATCGTTGTTTAAGCATCAAATGGCGTCCCAATTCGTGTTGGGACACGTGTGTTCACATGCTCTGGGTTGAATGATTTTTGTCATTTTAGACACCTGGTTTGTTCTTATTCATTTCCATTATTGGGTGGTTAGGAGTGACAGAGCAGTTGAGTTTCAAAGATAATATACCTCGTTCATAGGTAAATGACCAGAAACATTACCATCGCTGAAAATGCAGCCATTCAAACGTGTCTAGGTAAGGATTAGTCTTTCTTTTGTTCCTTCTCACTGTTGTTGTCAATAGCAAAATTATTGAAAGGTGCAGTTAGTTAAGAATGACTCCAATTTTGACTTAGCCACAGATGAGGTTCAATTTCGTACTATAGTGGATCACTAGCTAGGTTCGTGCAACTAGGTACTGTTTGAAACTATTATCTCTGTCAAACCCTTGCTACATTACAAAGACGGTAACTTTAATGTCATTTTCCCCACGTCCTGAACCTCTCATTCCACTCACCTGCTCTATATTTCTCTCTTCTTGTGGTAGTGACACTAAAGGAGGAGTGCTGGGGCTACTAGGAAAGCAAATCTGATTTTCCAACAAGAAGTCATGGAGAAGCAAGGATAGTTGAGTTCCTTTGCGGAAAGTGCCTATCTAATTAGTAAGTTGATAATAATTAACTACGAAGAGGAAGGCTGGTTTTCTAATGCCGTAAGAATCTTCCAATATTGCTTTGCAAACACACTTGGAAAGTCAAGGCTCATTCATAATTGGTAGATATATAGAGAGTTGCCAAGGTCTGAATTACTTGGCTCTTTTATTGGATATTGAGAGTTGAAGATAGAAGCACACACACGTGCACATAGGAAAGGTTTTGCCAAGGTCTGAGAATATTTATGTTTTCCGGTGGTAGGGTCAATTAATTTTTCATCATCTTCTGCAAAGATAATGGAACATTACTTGACATCACGTACCAAGTTAATACGCTTCACTTCAAAAAAAAAAAAAAAAGATTATGCCCTTTTTTTTGGATATATATATATCTTAGAGTCCTATGAGTTTCTGAATTATATAATGAGAGATAGACCTCTTCCGTTACATAATCATAAAAAAATAAAATTTAGAATTATTAAAACTCGAATTTTACTTCATTACAAACTAATTGAGTATACAATGGTTAGATTAAGTTTGTATGTGTGTATATATATATATATATATATATATATATATATATATATGATCATGTAATATTTGGAGATCGAAGTTTAAATAATCCAGTCTCATTTTTCATAATATGTAGGTATATCAACCTTTGGGTTTGGCTCATATAGTAAGCGGATTATCTCCGTCATTAAAATTTCAAGCTCGAACCCAAGGGGAGGGAGGCTTGGGAAAAAGATTTCTCTTGGATGGTTTATGCAAGACATGATAAGATCTTTAATGCTCTACATGTGAAAGCTGATCTAACAATGCTCTCTTTAACTTTTAAAACTAAGAAAAGTAACATTCGAAAAGAAACTTCTCGCAAATCTATCATTAATTCATTTGTGGACGACTGGTACTTAAGTCTTGGTGGCAATATTGTTGGCATGAGAACAACTGAATGGTTAAAAAAAAAAAAAAAGAAAAAAAGAGGAATCTGTAAGTTGATTTTTTGCTTCCATGGCTGAATTATATAATCATTTTCTTTTCATCTCCTTTTGAATCGGCAAAGGAGAAGTATTGAATAGTTTCCTACGGATAATTTGTTTGGTCAATCTTCAATAACAAGCAAGACGAACTCAAACTCTTGCAGATAATTTGAGTAAATATGCATGGATTAGTAGAATAGGTGTCCGATGCCAAGTGGAACAGGAGACCCCTTGGGTAAGGAATTGAGGTGTTGTCATCCGTCATCATAATCTTTTTGGCTGGTTTTTGGTGCTAACTTTACCATCTGAGGGTGAGCACCATCAATTCCAAATAGTTAGAAATCAAAGACCATAGACCAAAGACCATCTCATTAAAGGGTGTTCCTATCAGCAGGTTGGCAGTGATGGGCCAATCTTATGTCATATTACACATAAGCAAAAATCCTAACCTCCTTTTTATGCGGAATTAGCTAGTTGACTTTTCCTAGTTTTTTTGGCCTTTATATATGCACACTACTTGGCCTTCTTCCTAGAGGAGATCTCATATTCTATCTTCTTTCTTTCTTTGTTCACATTGTTATTAGCAATATAAATGCTGTCTTTCTGTTAGTTTGCCTTATCTGTTGAAAGCAAGAGGAAAAAAAAAAAAAATGAGCAACATAAGCTTTGTGGAGGCAAAGTTGCCACCAGGGTTTAGGTTTCACCCAAGAGATGAAGAGCTTGTGTGTGATTACTTGATGACGAAGGTTTCTCACTGTGACTCCCTTCTTATGATAGAAGTTGACCTCAACAAGTGTGAACCTTGGGATATTCCCGGTGAGTTTTAATATATCCATCGAACTCATTACCACCATGATCAACATGATTCCATTCTCACAATCATCACTTCACTATATATGCTTCTCATCTTAATTATATAGTAGTACCCATTGTTATTTGTTCACTACTCATCGCCATTGAATCATTTGGTTTCATTTTTTCTTCTTCCTTTCTAGTTATAGTCTATTTAGATAGTAGACAGTATGTGTATGCATGGAAGCTGCAGGGGAGACACTAGAAAAGTGGTTCTTTCCTTGTTTTCTTTTTGGTAACTTGTAATGGGAAGAATACTGGTGATATATATGATGATCTCTAAATGACTAGATAGATGACTAGGCCCTAGTTCCTCCCATGAGTTATTGTCTACTTTTTAGACTTCATTCATCTGATTTTAGATACTGCTTTAGCTTTGAAGGCTTAATTAGACACCATTGGCTCAACTCTTAATGTTTAAATCAGTAAACGAGGGACATGATCAGGAATTTTCTCTTTCACTTCTTTGGCTAATTAAGGATGATAGCAACCTGTTTTTTTTTTTTTTTTAATGAATAATTGTGGTCATGTACCTATGCAGTTTTGCGTTGGATAAAAACTGATTATCATTGGTTGTCATATACCACCATCATACACACACACATACATGTCCACTATAACTTTTTATTTTTTATTTAGGGAAATTATTCTTAATGTGCACATACTCCATGCATATAATTGTAATCTTATTCAAATTAAGGAGCTGGAGTTATGATTTTCTTTGTGACAAACCCGAAATCCGCCTTTCTAAAAATTAATCCACTAATTAATTATTTCTCAATCCGAGTGTGGAGCTTTTATTAGGACCTGACCGCAGAAAGGAATATAGTTTTAGTGTAAAATGGTTCAAGATATAATGACGTCGACCATTATTTTCAAAAACAATATCTGGAAACCCTTATAGCGTGGTTTGGATAAGTTTTTTAAGAACTGGAATATGAATATCATTATTTTTATATTACGTATACTTTACGCTATACAAGTAATTAAGTACATATATATATTAGGGTATACATGTCACGCAAAGGATTGTTTGTATTAATATATTGTGTTTCTTTCACCGTCTTTTAGGTGGAAATCCTCAACCAACTGATTGTAATTAATTAAGTGTATGTTAAAAAAAAAAAAATCACTATTTTTCCCAACTAATTTTTCAAAAAAAAAAAAAAATTTCATATTGATTTTTTTTTTTTTTTTTGAAAAAAACAAATTGACACTCTTAATTGGCACTTTCCAATTCACCTAAAGTTATGAAAGTGATTGAAATAGCTAAGCAAAAACCTAAAGTCATATACCTTATTGTCCATACCTAGTGGCCACCACTCTCTTTTATGATCACGCATGGTTCAAAGGAGAATGGGAGTTTATCCTTTTAATTCTTACCAAATCCAATATGTTTTTTCACCATCTTTGAATATGGAAAGTCGTCGTCCCCTTTTGTTTTTCAAACCATGATTGTTGTTCAACCTCCAATTGCTATATAAATTATTCATTTACCATCCACTAAATTCAACTAAAATTTGTAGATCACACGTGTCACGTACGTAAGCAAGGAAGTCTTGTTTTTCTCAACTTGTAAATTTTACCACTGTTTCCTTCAATAATTCTCATTAATAGATAGACATTGACCTCTCAACAACATTGCTGTTATTGGATTACAGTCATCTACTATCTATTTTAGCCACATATGATGAGTCGCTTTTGGCGCCATGACCTGATCGTCTGTGATGACTCATATATGCATATCACCTTTCATACTGACATCATTACTGCGATAATTTCTTTTCATGTCACTATATACTGAATATCTTTACACAGGCATACATCTTTAACAAATTCATCAAGAGAGAAAAAAAAAGAAAAGATTTTCGACCAAAAAAGCAAATTGGTTTTGATTTTGAAGGCATTCAAATATCACGAGTTCGACGCTGAACTAAATGTTTATGATTGAATCATGACCGGTCAAAATCCGGTCACTGATATGGTTCCGGATTGTTGAATCGGACGTTTGGTCATCCAATTCAATGTTAAATCTGTGTTTTTGGATGTTTTCAAGGAAACCTAATGTTGACCTAATCGGTAACCGAAGTCTTGCAGTTAATGCCTCACCCTTGATCATGGTAAAGCCATCAAAGTCTTTGGTTTAACATGATGGATTGAAAATGATGTTGACTAAGGGTAACCCTTTTTTTTTTGTTTGATCTTTTTCTTTGAGTTGACCTTATTACACAAATTTAAAAGTCTTGCTCTTTAATTCAGAGAATTGGAAAACGTGTAAATTTCTTATGGTCTAAGAATTATGTATGTGTGTGGAAATTAATTTGGCAGAAGCGGCATGTGTGGGAGGCAAAGAATGGTATTTTTATAGCCAAAGAGATCGGAAGTATGCAACTGGACTGAGAACTAATCGAGCAACAGCAACTGGATATTGGAAGGCTACAGGAAAGGACAGACATATCCTACGTAAGGGCACCCTTGTTGGCATGAGAAAGACCTTGGTGTTCTACCAAGGTAGGGCACCTAAAGGGAAAAAGACTGATTGGGTCATGCATGAGTTTCGGCTTGAAGGACCTCTCGGCCCTCCCAAAATTTCTTCAGACAAGGTGGGTTTTATAATATTCACTATGATTTATTCAATGATTTTAATTATTATTATTATTATTTTGTCTAGTTTTCACAAATTTTCATTCTCAAAATTTTACTACATAGATGCTTGTTTTCCTTGAGTTTTTGCAAGAATTATGGTGCCTTTTGTCTTTTATTAATACTATTTTCACTAGGCCGTATGTTAAACCTTTTTGACTTCAGGTAATATATATGAGTTTTTTTCCCTTCATATATGAATTTTTTTTTTTTTTTTTTTTTGGAGAAAAAACCAAATTCATCATTTGTAATTGACTCTAATAGACTATAATATTTTTTTCTCTATATATTTTGTAGAAAAACAAATATCAGAGTTTGATGCATCTTATAATTAAAATGCTTAGAACTAAAATGAAATAACTTATGTTTCTATATTTATAAATTTGGAACATCTTTTAACCCTTTAGACAAGCAAAACTAAGATCTACACGAGTTGCGACTAGCTATTTATGCCAAGTCACACTAGTCGAACCTATTTGGAAATATATAGTTTAATTAAGCTGGTAGACATCTCTCATATATATATATATATATATAACAAAAAAGGCCAAATTAATTTGTTGAACTAGTCATGACAAGTAGTATAAAAATACATTAGTAGCTGACCTAAGATGTGTATTTTATAATCATCTTATGTAAGCCTAATTATATAATATTTTTTCTCAGCTGTAATGCATAGTAATATCATGCACGGCCATTTGTGATCATCATCATGACCAACATTTCTCCTTTTTCTTGGTGCATACAGGAAGATTGGGTTTTATGTCGAGTGTTCTATAAAAATACCAGAGAAGTTGTGGCCAAACCTAGCATGGGAAGCTGCTATGATGACACAGGCTCTTCATCTTTGCCAGCATTAATGGATTCATACATCACTTTTCACCAAACTCAACCCAATTTAGATGAGCACGAGCAAGTGCCCTGCTTCTCCATTTTCTCCCAAAACCAAGCCAACCAAAATATCCCGTACATTACTCAAATGGAAGTACCAAATGTACCCACAAAGGGTACAAGTCCATTTGGGCAAGTGCCTATGAATACTACCACTCCTTTAGACGCTTTTCCTTGTGACACAAAGGTTCTAAAAGCTGTTTTGAATCACCTTACCAAGATGGAAAGCAATGCCAACATTAAAGGGTCACCAAGCTTAGGAGAAGGTAGTTCAGAAAGCTACTTATCTGATGTGGGCATGCCCAACTTATGGAATCCCTATTGATTTTTAATTAGGTCTTAAATATAGGATTTAGAGAGGTTCTCTCTTCTCCCACTTCCCAAAAAAAAAAAAAAAACCTTCAACAGCCTTGCAAGACCATATTTGTTGCAAAGCAATTTCTGGTGACCAGTAATTCACTTGTCCTCCCACATGATATATGTTTTCATTTCTTGTATCGGAAGGCATTGTAATTACTTGGGGGGATATTGTACTCAACTTTGTTATTGTAGATTATATATGAAGTCTATATAGCTAGGGTGATATGAAATGAAGAGTGTAAAACTTTCATTGTTAACTTCATATATATGGGGGTTAATATTAATTTCTGGTGTTGTGATTTTTATTTTAATTACTCAGTCGAACTACTTAGACTATTGTAAACAATGGAATAAAATAGCATGTTGTTGGAAGTGATCGAGGATTTAGGAATTATAATCCATACTATAATATTTTGCGATGGGACTATGTACCACGCACCCTGTATATATATGAGGAATTTAATTAGCATTCCGGACAAATTTAATTCGAAATCTCTTTCACTTTTTTATTAATTAAAAAAAATTTATGTATGCATGAACTAAGTTTTTATAGAGCACTTCAATCAATTCTAATAATATATCTCTTAATTAATCTCATGCACAATTTTACAAATCTACTAATCTACACATTAATGTATTACAAAGTTGGCAAACCCTAGTCATCTCTATAATAAAACAATCTCCATATCACAAAACAAAACAATATATGTTGTTATACCTTCATAAAATTATACATACATACATACATATATATATATATATATATATATATATATTATGAGATAAGTTAGCTAATGTTGAGGTAAATCAGCCAATCCATCCAATTTTATTAAACATATGTTATTATATGATTGATAAAACATTAGATGAAATGATTGGTTTGATTTAACTTTAAATAGGATATGATTTATTTTGCACCATACCTAATTAAAAGGAATAATACTAGATAATTTGAGGACATGGGAGGAATTTAACCTAAATGCTTGAATCTGTTTGTTTGTTTGTTTTTTTTTTTTTTTTTAAGAATTTTTAATACGATTGGTGTAATGCCAAGCAGAACATTACAAACAAAGAATGGGAGTTTTTCCTTCCCTTTTAACTATGACTTTCCACTAACACAAATAAATTAATGCATGTAAAGAAGAAGGAAAAGAAACTAAATCCGAGTGAGGTCACCATGAAGATCTTACTCATTTATATATTTCATATTACAAAATGGCTTCGTATTCACTTGCATTTTCTTGGAGCGGAAGTTCTAAAATTTACTCATAGTTGTTGATTGAGTTCTTCTTTTTCTTTCACATTTTTTTGGGCCTTTCAATCTGGTGGCATTTCGAGTTAGTCTCATTTATCAAAAAATAAAGTTATTTCTACATAATTATTTTAATCAAAATTTTGCATAATTCACTTACCAAAAAAAAAAAAAAAAAAACTTCAATTATTAAATGAGTATCTCATACATTAAATTAAATAAATAGATTTCATTAATAACTCTTATAAATTTAATAATTGACATTTTTAATAAGTAAATTTTGCAAAATAATTATGTCAGAATATCATTACTCTATATTAAAACTAAATTTATTTTTTAAATATGTCAATATTATTTTTCATAACATGATCTAAAATCTTATTAAGCCGGTACGAAGGAGGGAGTAAAATTAGGTGATTAATAAATTCATTTGAAATTGAACAACTTAAAATCAAATCCTACTTAATTACGAAAGAAGTGACTAATTTCAATAATTGAAACTTATGAAAAGACTGACAATGCTTACTTTTAAGGCTATGCCCTTAATTTTAGGGCCAATAGAACGTTGCTAGAGTATCATAATCGATTTGTGAAAACTTCAGAAAGTTGAGTGAACTTGAAAAAGATTTTTCAAAGAAAAAAGAATGAATATCCTCCTAATCATTGACAAAATGGAGCATCAATCCCTTTCGGCACACACGAATGCTAGTGATTGAACTGTTTTTGAAGTCAGAATATTGATCGTTGAAAGTAAATTAATGGAGTTAGGTTTGGTATGTGGAACCAAAAGTCTAACTAGAATCTTACTTTTTAATGTTAATGATGTAATGCATGCCCTATCACTGAAAGCAACTTACAACCAAACTCGTATGCTAATTAAAATCAAGCATAGACACTGGGCATTTTCTATTTCTCTAATTCAAATTATAATTTGAGTCTATAGGTTCTTATATAATATTTAAAAATTTTCATATGTCTTTATATTTTTAATTATATCACATTTATCTCCGAAAGTGTTTAAAATATACAATCTGTCATTCGATCAACGTCTCCGATTAAATAAAAATTTTGACCAAAATACCATTAAAAAAATTCTAAAGACTTAAAAAATGAAAAATATAGATCAAGTGACTTTAAGTGTTTTTTTTTTTAATTTTAATTTTTTTTAATTATTATTATTTTTTATATTTTAGTAAAAGACATTTTGATAAACAAAAAAAAAAAAAATTCATAATCGAAAAAATTAATCGGAAGAATAGATTAAACATTTTAAAGTTTTTCAAAAACGAGATGAGATGTAATTGAAAATCTAAAAACGAGATAAAAAAAACTTTGAATATTATACACATGTCCATTTGATGGAAGATCCTCATTGATTCTTAGAATCTAGGAGATTTGATGATCTACCATGACATTAATTACCTAACCACTACAAAAAAATGGAGTTTAGTGACAGAATATTCCGTTACTAAACGCCTTGATTCCGTTGCTATTCATGAATAGCGACAAAAGCTATTTCGCTTGTTGCTAATTTTTTACGACGGAATAATCGGTTCGTCGCGACCATCGCTAAACCAAAAAAATCCATCTCTAATCTTGTCGTTAGATCGATCATTTTGTTCGTAGCTAATCCGTCTCTATTCCGTCGTTAATTTTGAAAATAGATCCGTCGCTATTCGGTCGCTAATTTTGAAAATAAATCCGTCCCTATTCCGTCACTAATTTTGAAAATGATTTTTTCGCAATTTCATCCTTTTGTTGACATTTTTTGAAATTAAATTATTAATATGAAATTTAATAATTAATATTTAATAATAAATTATTATAAGCAATCATGTATATATGAAAAATAAAATAATAGTAACAAAATCATTCTAGAATGCGTTCCATAAAACAATAAAACAAACAAAGTGATTGAATATTATATCACTCATCCTTTTTGTCTAATCCTATATGCTCATTCTCATACTATGTGGAGGGCTCGACTGGAGGCCGAGTGGAAGGAATGGTAGATTGCTCGAATGATTGATGGATCTATAAACAACCCGGATGTTTGTGTCCGTCGCATCGGTAAGGATGCCATCGAATCGTATTGAGATTTCATTTTATAAATAGTATGATTTTGCTCTAAGATCTGGTTTTTAAGCTCAATCACCTCTTGTAACCCTCATTAAAATCTTTAATGAGATATATATATATATATATATATATATATATATATATATATATATATATATATATATATATATATGCCGAATATTCATGTAAATGTACATTAAGTACGAGTGCAATTATAGGTGTCATTTTACCTGTTTGGTGATGATAATTATTTAGCACTTATGTGAGAATTTTGAGTTGAAGTTTCAAAAAAATTAATTAATTATCACTCATTATATATTAAATACTTGGGACATATTATACAAGTGAAATAGGGGTGTGTATAAAATTTTAAAAATGTAGTAATATTTTCCTTGGAAATATCAGAATGAAAAGGAAATGAATTTTTGAATTTTAGAGGGGAAATTTCGAAGATTTATGAAGGAAAATATGTTTAGTTACTTGAACTAGATTGGTTAGGGTGTTTAGTTACTCTAACCAATTAATTAGGACACCTAAACCCCCTAATTAATGAATTAAAACCAGCTCACCCTAAACCTCTCAAACATGCCACCTTCTCTCTCATTTCTCACCTATAGCTTTCCACTCTCCCAAATAAAAGTAAGACATTTGTACACTTAATTGATGCTTGAGATTTTAAGCATGTATATATATAGAATAAGTGAGAATGGAAGAAAAATTTTAGGTAGCCCATAGCTACACAAACAAGAGAAAAAAACGACAAGGAATGAGAGGAAGAGAAAGGAAAAAAAAAAAAAAAGGGAAAGGAGAAAATGAAAGCAAAGCCAAGGAAATTCTAACCATACCTAAGCTAGGTAAGTGGGTTATCTTTTACTTGTTTATACCATTTATTTAATCTTTATGCAATTGACTAAACATGTGTTTAGGTGATGATATGTTGTTGTGATTAGTTGTATTAATTGATTTGCCTTGCAATTCTTATTGGTATGGTTAGTTGTATTGATTGGTTGTGTTGGTTGTTGTCTAAAATTTAGAAAACCTTGTATATGGTTAAATTCGTGTTTGGGGGATGTGAATGACGGAATTGGGTTACACAAAACATCGTGGATAAATTTAAAACTTGTATAGACTTGAATAAAATGGAGTAGGAAGGAAAGAAAAATGAAATTTTATGGTTCTTTTTGAGTAAACTTTCGAGCCGGAGAGTTACACGGCCTCCCACATGGATGTGTTCTTGCCCGTGTAATGAAGAAATATGTTTTTCTTTAAGTCGGAGAGTTACACGGCCTCCCACACGGGTGTGTCCTTACCCGTGTAATGAAGAAATATGTTTTTCTTTAAGTCGGAAAGTTACACGACCTCCCACATGGGTGTGTCCTTACCCGTGTAATGAAGAAATGTGTTTTTCTTTAAGTCAAAGGGTTACACGACCTTCCACACGGGTGTGTCCTTGCCTATGTAACGAAGAAATGTGTTTTTCTTCAAGTCGAGAGTTACAAGACCTCCCGCACGGGCATTTCCTTGCCCGTGTAATGAAGAAAGGTGTTTTTCTTTAGTTAGAAAGTTACACGACCTCCCACACGGATTTGTCTTTTCCGTGTAATTCATTAGTCACTCGAAATTTACTACTTTTA